TTTTTTTTTTTTTTTTTTTTTATTCATTAGAGGAACGACGTTTATATCATGATTCGTTTTTTATCACAGTATCAAATTTTTCCTACTTTTACTCGAAATTTTTTGATTTTTATATTCGGTAATTTGATTTTTATCGTTACTTGTTTCAATATAATAACGGCGATGCGATGATTTTTATATTTTCGAATACGCGCTGCTCATCTATTTAAGGACACGTAACGAGAATGTTTTTTTTTTTTTTTTTTTTTTTTGATTTTCCAAATTCTCGTTATTGAAATTTGACGTGTTCCCCATTCCTCTCGCCGATTTTTATCAATTTAAAAACTTCACGATCGGAAATCTAATATTTTTTTTTACCTCCACGGAATATTTTTTAATTGGATCGTTAACTATCGCGTATAAATATTGCCCCCCCCCTCCCTCTCTCCCCATTAGAAGAGACACGTTTTCGCAGAGAACGAAGCTAATGATAATATTCAACTTTTTTCCAATTTCAAAACATTTAAATCATTTCAACAATTTTTTTCTTTCTTTTTTTTTTTTTTCAAAAAGCACGTATCGGTTAAAAGTTATATTTTTATCGGTCGAAATAAAAGGCCATTGGCATTTCTCCCGACAAAAACGTTTGTTTATTCAAACCGTGAAATAGAAATAGAAATAAATGAATTCGTGGAAAATCATTTTGAAAATTTTTCTCGCGGTCGAGATCAACAATTTTTTCCCCGTTGTTGTTGTACGAAAAAATTATTATACCAATTTTCGATCGACTAACAAAAGCAGAAACAAAAACAGACGCAGATTTCGCTTATTTCATTCGACTCTATCGTAATTCTATCATTCATCGTTATTTCCTTGCAAAAGTTTTTTAGAAATGATTCCGATTTGATGATCAAATTTAAATCGATAAATAAAATCTAACGCGGAAAACGAATTTCCAGGAAAAATCAAAAGTAACGCCAAAAACCAGATTTTCCATCCCCTTTCATCGATATTCATATCACTGGCCAATAATTTGTGTATGCACCGATTTTTTTCCCGCGTCAGCGATCCATTAATTCGCGCAAAATTGAAATCTTTCGATCACAGTGCGAGTAACGAGGCGACGAAAACGCGATGAAAAAAAGTACGAAACAGGTTCGCAGGTGTCACGCACGTAATAAATGTCGTCTTGACATTTATCGATGATTATCGATCGAGATCGAAATAGGCTCGTTTAATTTTTCAATTTCGCAGAAATGATCGGATTGAAATTTTGCAACTTGCTAGATCAAATAATTAATTTACAGAGGATAAAGGTAACCCCTCTTTTATCTTTCTCCTTTTATTATTCGCACGAACAATCCCGACGAAACAATTCGACAATTCGCGCCAAAACTTTCTCTTTTATTTCGTTTCGTTCGTAAGCAACAAGCCTCTTTCATCGAACGAGAAAGACTGGATTTTTTAATCCATCAACGATGTTTATTAAAATACGTATTCGATAGTAAGAAAAGAAAAAAAGTCGAGCGTTCGTAAAATTTTATATTTTTAATATAAAATTTTATACCGGAACCACTTAAGGGATTAAAGTAAGTTTCGCGTTTGATCGTAACGGAGCGAATATACACCTGTATTATATACTCAACCTATTCAATTTTACAGCCGCTGGTTTTGGTCTAAGAGTGGTTGGTGGTAAAACAGGGACCGATGGACGTACATTTGCATACGTGATGTGGACCCTGCCGGATGGACCAGCGGCAAAAGTTGGTATACAACGAGGCGACAAGGTAAGATCTCGCCAATTTTTTTCTTCTTTTCGCCACGTTTGCGAAACTTTGTATTTTCTTCGTGAAAAGTATATATATATATATATATATATATATTTTTTTTACTCCTTTCTTATTTGACGCGTATATATTAAGACGTGTTTGGAAATAGAAATCGGCGTTGCGATTGTCTGGATCGGGAAACGGGCATTTGGATCTTGGAAATAAAAATGTCTTGGCAACTTGCGCCCATAGAAACGGGTAACATATTGCAAGCGGTTAATGCGTGCGAATATCGACAACCATTCTCCCCAGCTGTGATTTTAATTAAGTTATCGACAGCTGCGCCCAACGCAAACGCGTCACGATCGTTCACCAAGAAAACCTATACATCTCGCGAAATCGTATCAAATCATGTTAACGTATGATCGGTTAATTTAATAAAAATAACTTTGTTATGTCCGTGATTATATTAATTCGTCTCAATATATATATAATAATCGTAGAGGGAGAGAATTTTTAATTCTTCGAATCTTGCATCTCGAATTTCTTATTCAACGTTTCTCCGCTTCGAAACATCTCGCGAAATCGTATCAAATCATGTTAACGTATGATCGGTTAATTTAATAAAAATAACTTTGTTATGTCCGTGATTATATTAATTCGTCTCAATATATATAATAATCGTAGAGGGAGAGAGAGAATTTTTAATTCTCCGAATCTTGCATCTCGACTTTCTTATTTTGATTTATTTTGAAACTTTGTGCGAAAAAGTATTATTTCCTTTTAAGAAGAGAAGTATTTCGATATTTATAAACACCGTAACGAATATAAATTGGTGCAAAAATTGGTACGGATAAACAGCACGCAACTTTTAATTTTTAAAAGTTTCGTGGGAAACGTGGTGTAGTATCCAGCTTGGAAGAATTTTATATAGATATATCATTTATATCAGATTTTTTTTCATCTCTTTCAGAATTTATTTCTCGTTCCTAGATTTCAATTTCAAGATAGGGGGAATCTTTTCCCTCCGTCAGGAGACCACATAAAACAAAATCTGGAATAGTTTTGAAATAATTTTATTATTGAACACCCTTTGCAAATGATTTAATCGCGATAAATAGATTGTTCTAAGGACTTTGTGCATAAAATAATATCAAAGATACATTTAAGATTGTTCTAAGGACATTAGTCTAATTCAGGAACCAATTTTTAATCCAATATTTTTTAATTTATCCAATATTTTCTTTCTCTTTTTTAAATTATGTAACGCGAATTAAATAAAACGGCGAATATTTCAAATATCACGTATAAAATAATATCAAAGATACATTAAAGATTATCCTAAAGATATTAGTCTAATTTAAGAACCAAGTTTTAATGCACCAATATTTTTTTTCTCTTTTTAAATTATATACGTAACCGAATTGAATAAAACGACAAATATTTCAAATGTCGCGTATAAAATAATATCAAAGATACATTAAAGATTATCCTAAAGACATTAGTCTAATTTAAGAACCAAGTTTTAATGCACCAATATTTTTTTTCTCTTTTTAAATTATATACGCGACCGAATTGAATAAAACGACAAATATTTCAAATGTCGCGTATAAAATAATATCAAAGATTGAAGAGATTGAAGATTGTTCCAAGAACATTAATCTAATTTAGGAACCAATTTTTAATCCACCAATATTTTTTTTCTCTTTTTAAATTATATACACGACTGAATTGAATAAAACGAATATTTCAAATATCGTTCAAATATAAAATATCAAAGATACATTGAAGATTATTCTAAGGACATTAGTCTAATTCAGGAACCAGTTTAATGCAGCAATATTTTTTTCCCTTTTTAAATTACGGCTATTACGTACGCGACCGTGTTGAATAAAACGGTGAATGTATCAAATGGTTATTTCTCCTTCGCCCTGTCACCAACGATACACGTACACTCGTTTTTCTTCGCCTATACCGTTTCACAAATTTATCCCTCGTGATCGTAAAACTGAACGTTCTCCGTTCACGAATAATAATTCCCTCGTGTGGCCATTAATTAGAGTAAGCCTCGACGACGAAGCGAGATCGATTGATATTTTTCTTTTTTTTACAAACTTTATTAAATTGCCCGTATATTTTTGTTATCCGATATTGCTTTCCAATTTAGGAAGCGGGCCGCGTTTCATCACGGAGTCGACGAGCATCCTTCAGACAACTCGATAACAAAAGTTCTCTTTTAAATTTCAAACGAATAAATTGTTTCTCACCGCGCAAAGGAGGGAATTGCATCGTTACATGTGAGATTTATCTCGTTCGTTTATCTCGTTATTTATATATATATATAAAAGAATACAGATTATTCAGAGAGCAATGTTCTAGAGCTTTTCTAAACGAGAAAAGTTTGCTTAATTTTTTAATTATCGAATTCCACGTCTTGATAAGTTGGAGAAAATATTTATAAGTTGGAGATTTGTTCTTTTTTATAAATAAATTTCACATTCCCACGAATGCAATGAATCTCTGATATCGCAATGCTAAATTATATTTACAATGTAATGCTTTGATAATGTTTCGAAAAAAAAAAAACAGCATCGATATTTCTTTGATTCTCGTCATGCAAAGGAAGGAATTGCATCGTTGCACGTGAGATTTATCGTTCGTTTATCTCGTTATTTATACACAAAAGAATACAGATTATTCAGAGAGCAATGTTCTAGAGCTTTTCTAAACGAGAAAAGTTTGCTTCATTTTTAATTATCGAATTCCACGTCTTGATAAACTTCGTTGGAGAAAATATTAGAGATTTGTTCTTTTTTATAAATAAATTACATTCCATTATTTCACATTCTCACGAATTATAACGAATCTCTATATCGCAACACTAAATGTTCTTTGACAATGTTTCGAAAGAAAAAAAAAAAAAAAAAAAACATCGATATTTTTCTTTCACATTTTACATAAATCGTTATATCGAAACATCAAACCATCAGACGGAGGACATCGTACGCAAAATCGACCTCAAAAAAAATTTTGTCGAACGTGTTCGAGACAGACGATTATCTCTAACACGATGAATAAAAATTTGCCCGTACTTCTCCTCAGGTGTTAGAGTGGAATGGAGTGTCTCTGGTGGATCGAAGCTTCGAGGAAGTGGTTCAAATAACAGAGCGGAACGACGATGTGGTCGATCTGGTGGTCGAGCATGTTGCCGACACGTAAGTAATAAGAATCGATTCCCTACTCGCTCCACAAAAAAAAAAAAAAAACAATTTCAAATTCGAAGGACAACGAAAATACACGATCATTAAAAAAAGATCAAAGTCGCTCGCAATAATGAATAGAAAAAAAAAAAAAATCAGTGAAATTATTCCGCGATAGATAGAAAAAAAAAAGGAGAATAATAACATATAACATAGTCGTCGAGTCGAATCGAATTGTGAAAAGTAGTTAAATCGAATTGCTTTTATCATCGCTACTTTGACGTGACACGAATGTACGCAGCGGGGACCTGCCGGAGGATTTAGCCGCGGTACCATCTGGAAAAGTGCCGGGGAATCTGGGACTGCTGATGGGTGAGTACCGAATCATCCGTATATGTGTGTGTGCGTGTGTGTACACGTGTACGGTGGGGAAAAAAAGACGAATCGTTAGATTCGAGGAGGAGGAGGAGGAGGAGGAGGGTAGAGTGCATCGTCGGCTTTAAAATCGATAATTCGCACGGAGCGAGGAGGATTCGCTCGACTCGTGCACGCGCGCGTTTCGAGAGTGGAAAAAAAACGGGGGGGGGGGGGGAGGGAGAGAGGAAAGAGTTGATTGTTTTGCGCTCGTCAGTAGCAGTTTGTTCGTCTTCTCGCGTATCAGGAATTAAACGTTCTCGTTTTCCTTCTTTCTTTTTTTTTTTTCCTCTCTCTTCCTTCCTTTTATCGCATCGTTCGAAAATCGACGAAGGGAATGAAAATAATCGCGAATGGAACGTTCGATTCCAATTTGACTTTTCACAATTGTTGGAGATTTTTCTTTTTTTTTTTTTTTTGAATACGCCGATCGTTTCTGAGATTAATATTGTTGTTATTGTTGTTATTGTTGTTGTTGTTGTTATTATTGCTTACGTTGACACGTGAAATGTATATTCTTTTTCAGAAGGGGAAACGGATAAAACGCCTTCATCACCGACGCGCAGGAAACTGCCAAAGACGCCGGTATAACGAGTTCATAAATTGACACATCTACGCGTGACCGTCTCCTCTCTTTCTTCTTTTTCTTTTTTTCTTCTTTTTTTTTTTTTCTTTTTTTTCTTCTTCTTTTCTCTTTCTTTCATTTCCACACGCAATGTACACGCATACGCATAAAACACACACACATACATATATATATATACACACGGTTAGTGAAGTTAAACCTCGATCAGACCGAGTTTAGTTGTTAGCCGAAAAGTGAAAGCGTCACAATAGCACCACCTTACCACTTTTAGAAAACCGGAAATAATCACCACCTCTCTCGGTCTTTCGCTTTGTACATGTATATACATTACTATATCTCATATAACACGTATAATGATGAATCCGTATCCGATGCGAGTACCGAGCCTTTACTTTTACTTGTTACTTGTACGTGTGTGTGCGTGTGTGCGTTTAATCCAAACAATTATATACGACACGTGTATATCGGAACAATTAAAAAAAGGGAAACAAAAAAAAAAAAAAATGGCGACAGCGATTTGACAACGAATGAAAAATGTTTCGATAATGTGATTCTCCACACGATTTTTCCACGGAAGGAACGAGGAAGGGAATCGCCAAGGGAAATGGAATTTTTCCCTCGATTTCTTTCGCCTCTCTCTTTATCTTTCATTCTATATTTATCCAACGCTATTGGATCTATTTCGCTCGAATATATCCCCCCCCCCCTCCCCTTCCCCCCTTGTAAACACGTCGACGCGTTTTGGAAAAGTTGTTTCGAATAAACAAATGTTTTTTTCGAAAACTCTCTGCTTCGTGGAAAGTGGCTTCCCCACTTTCGAATTGTCACGGGCCGCGGCGGTCTTGCTGACATATTAAATTTGTACGGTGTGTACATGCACGGTCACGTCCTGTACATACGCGCTAGGCTAGGTGTAAATATTTATCGCGTTGATGCGCGAATCTCGCACTGAAACCGCGAATTGATGGAAATTGGAATACCACGCTTTTCGACGGAACGAACACGATCACCGCGATTTTTCCTCGGTTACCGTGAAATTTCCAATTTTTTTCTTTTTTCTTTTTTCTTTTTTTTTTCTTTTTTTTTTTTTTTTCGGCGCAGCTCGTTAAAGAGACGCGCGCGCCACGCCGCGCCCCGTACAGATATAATAACACCGGATACACGGAGACCAAATTTTGTATCCGAAAAAAGGGGGAGGGAAAAAAAAAATTAACTTTGAAAATGTAGCAGAGATCAGTTTTTTTAATATATCGAACTTTATAACCATTTCCGATGGAAACGTTGCCTGAAAATGGCGCGATTCGATCAAAAAAAAAAATGGCAGGGAATGTAAATAAACGAAAAAGAAAGAAAAAACAAAGTACGAAAGATACTTTTATGTACTACGCATTCTAATTACGAAAACCGTTAAAATTTTTCGAACCATCGAGAAAGCTTCATCCTCCGCCACTTTTTCACGACAAAACATTCAATCGAATTTTAATACGCGCTTATTCACCAAGTCTCGAAAATGCATATCGACGCAACAAAATTATCAAACGAAACGAAATTATTACACTCTCCGACCTACATATCGTTTATCGTTATACATATCTATTTTCATCCCCCAAATACAAATTTGGGGATCCAAGCTTCAAAAATATTCACCTGCTTCGAACGAAGCAGAAGAGCCAAGAGAAATTCATTCTTCTCTCGTGATCGTCTTGTAATTCTTTTTTTTCTTTTTTCTTTTTTTTTTTTTTTTTTTTTTTTTCCCCTCTTTCTCGCGCGAAAAGAAATGTTCCGTTCCATGGAAAAATCGCGAGGTATTCGGTTTTCGCAACGGATTTACGGAGGGCGTAGGCGAGGAATATAAATGGAGGTAAATCGCGACGTTTCCCGTAATTTCGTGTCTTTCCGATCGAGTTATCGGAAGGTTAACACGTATATCACGCTTTCAAATCGAATGTCTCGTTTTCGAAACGTGCGTCACGTGGATAACGTAATAATATTCCAGCATCGGCATCAGCGTTGGCTGAATTAATATTAGAGAGAACCACGAGAGTAACGAGAAAGAGAGAGAGAGAGAGAGAGAGAAATGACGAACGCTTGGTTGTAACGAGTAATAGAGGCGCTATTAGTCAAAGGATCACCCATACGCATCAGTGTAAAATCATAAATTGTCGGTCAAACTGTCGGCTTGCTTCATATAGACGAACTTTCCTCTTTGTTATATTATAACAATGTACACGCTACACCTGTATACACCTGTGTAATCAAATATATGTGTCTCTGTTCTTTTTTTTTTTCTCTCTTCTTCTTGGGGGTGGATCTGTAAATAATTATACAGGGTTTCTGACAATAGGTGTATAACGTCGTATATATAAATATATATATATATAGAAGTAAGATAGATCGTCGTTAACAAGTACGTGGTAAAGTTTCAAAAAAGAGATTCCTTCCGGGAGACAGATCTTTTACCGGATTGAATATTTCTTTCTTTTTCATTTTTCATTCTCTTCTTTTCCTCGAGAAAAAAGAAACGAAAGAAAAAAATATCTCGAACGTAACGAACACCAACGATGAATTTCGTTCGTTATTTGGAAAGGCATCCGGTTTGATAATTCGGTCGAATTGCGCGGATCGATCGTTACGGCAAGAGGCAAAGCCAGAGGGAGAAGGAAGAAACGCGATATCTACTATTACTACTATATTACTACTATTACTAGCTGTACGCGTAGATATTTAATAAATCGACGAATTCTTGGGATTCTTTGTGAAAATTTTTTTCCTCGTTGCGAGAGCGATGTAGCTTCGTATTTTTTTTTTTTTTTTCGTTGAGGAAGAAAAATTAAATTTAAAAGATTAGCGAATAGAATAGAGAGAGAGAGAGAAAAAAAAATCGCGCTTTCTTTTCCGTCGAAAACTTTCAACTAGCTAGCTTCCAAGGGAAATATATTACACTTAAAAAATATATATATATATACGAGTTGAAAAACGAGAAAAGATTTGTAAATTTCACGTTGAACTTTTGATCCGTAGAATTATTCTAAGTAAGCAGAGAGAAAGAGAGAGAGAGGGAGGGAGAGAATCGGAATAAAAAGTTTCGAGAGTTGCGTTTGTTTGGATCGATGTAATATTAAAATACGACACAGGACCAAAAAAAGTAGATGAATCTTCTTCTAATAATTAGATATACATACATACATACATACATATATATATATATCGCTTCCGTGTGTCAATGTTTCTCGTAAGAAATTGTAATTGTAATTACGTAATATCGAAAGGAGTTATATAACGAAGACTTAGAGAATTCCACCTCACCGTGTAAATGTATTGTTCCATAGTGTAAGCTAAGAAAATTGACGCGAATGTCCAAACAATTGCATTATTGCAACAAAACTGTAACAAGCGAGCAGTTTCAAAGTGGTGGAACCAAGGGGTTGCAGGTAACTCGTGCCGATTGTTCACATCGACAGAATTTCGAGAGAGAGAGAGTTTACGTTCGAATAATACGTTGTAACGGATTGCAGATTAGTTCGAATTTGCCTTCTTCGATCGGATCAAATTTAATCAAACATCTGACGGGTATCCTTGAAGAACGCTATTTCTTTTTTTTTTTTTTTTTCGATGAAAATTCGCGAAATGCTTTATTCGCGAAAAGATCCGAATTCGTTCCGGATTTTTTGCAACAGTGTGTCTTGGCGGGGCCGATTCAGTTTCAACGACGATTTTCACTCGAATACTTGCGGAATTGATCGTCGGTCATCCAGACGAGGCGCGTTCGCCCTCTCTGACGTCAATTCGAGCTCCGAATGAATGGGATGAAATTTTATATTTAGCATCGGCGGCGACGCTTTTATTAACACGTAACCGCGTTATTTCCATTCAACGAAAGGATTTCAACGTAATAAAATATATTCGATGAAATATACGCGCTATCTACTCAAAAAGCGGCAATTAAAATGACGTCAATCTCCGAACGTCGAATATTCGATACGTGTATACGTATATACAAATTTAACGTCGTTGTTATCTGCCCGTTGTTGTTTCGAGCGGATGATAAAATTTTGTTTTGCGAGAATAACAATTATCGGATAAGAAGTTGTATTAATGTTTCGAAATATGGAAATATGGAAATTGTTGAAAAGAAAATTACGAACTTAGAATTATTTTTTTTAAATCAATGTATTATACTCTGTTCTATCGAACACCATGCACCAGAACTTTAATAACTTCCAATCGTCGAGTAACTTTTACTTAAACGATCCTCCTATTTTCTCTTTTCTGTTAAACGAGCAACTTTCTGAACGCGGGAAAAAATTCTTCTTTCACAACAGAGCGATCAAAATTTCGACGAATTTCATTCAATCTCTCTTTTACAATTATCTTTTACAATTACATATTAATATCGAGATGGAAATGTAATCATTTAATTCATTTACGTGTAAAATAGATATTGGAAGCCTAACAATTCTAGTTGTTAAATTTCCGAAACCGAACGATCGAGTTATCTGCAACGAAACAACTCCTTTGAAACTGAAATTGCATTTATATATATATATACCATCAGTTTTGAAAATTATTGTGGACGCGTCAATCCTATCTGTTTCACTGAAGATCGATGTTTTCTTTTCTATCGTTGGAGAAAAAAAAAAAAAAAAAAATACATACACACGCAGATGCTTTTTCGGCGCGTGGCCGCGTAAATTCGAGCCCCTTTCAACCAATAAGAGGGACTTGTTTCGTTCGTCGCTGCTTACACGATGTTCAATTTTACATGCGGTTCGAAGGAGCGTACGACAATCGGTCTAGATGATAAAAAAAAAAACGCCAAGAAATGCGTGCGTCCGTGCACCGGTGCATGTGTATATGTAATAATCTTATATAGAGTAGAGAGAGAGAGAGAGAGGGTGAATGTCTAGTTCGCAGTTGTCTCGTCTCAATTTCTCACGATATTTCTAAATTCTAAATTCTTTTCGAAGCTTTGTTTTCATCGTTGAGATTTTCAACAAGC